GAGCTCATTAATTATATATATATTTATTATTTTTCATTTATGTGTATATTTGTGATACTCTTTTAGAAGCATAGAATAATTCGTCAAGTGTCCTTTTGACATAAATATCTTTCAATAAATAAAGGCAAATAAGAATGAATGTCGGATCAAAGCCGGAATAAAGTTTCCGAGAGCAATACTTGAACTGGCCAGCAGAGTTGGTCATTTCGCTTCAGTCTTCAAACGCAAGTGAGCCGCTGCCACGTTCGGAGTCATGTCAACATTGACGTCTGTAAGCCGGGCGTCGGGCGTAGGGGCATCCAATTGTGGGTGTGTTCTTGCTTGTCAAACGAGGCTGTCTGTTGCTAGCGCGAGGGGAAGGCATGTCAGCCCGTCCAACTCGACTATTTCACTTTCAGCCCACACCCCAAATTGGATGTGCTTTAATTCGGAATTTGTCTCTAAAGCCTTAATCATTTCCTCGCAAAAGTGCATGTAATTGGGCAGCTTGGTCAGTTGACACATCCACTTATTTTGTCCCTTTAGACCACAATCGTTTGGGTCCTACTCCGACCGAGGCGGGTCCTCGGCCTCGAGACCAGCCCAACCTGCAGCCTCGAGACGTCGGTGCCTCAGATCAACTGACCTCCACTCCCTCTGCGCTGACGTCAGCAGCGCCGGTCGCCCAACCGACGGTCGACAGGAGGCCGAAACCGAGACCCGACAACTTGGTCAGGCTGCTCTCGGTCTACGGCTTTCTGCTGAGTCTGGCCAGCCTCTTCTGCTTCTCCCTCTTCACCATCTTCTCGCCGGTTCTCTTCGTCGCGCACACCAACAACGTCAACCCGTCAACGCCTCTGCAACGTTTCGGTCTCGTCAATCGGACGAGGCCAGACCCGGTCACGGCACCGGTTGCCTCGTTGGCGTCATTTCTGCCCGACAGAGACTGCCAGACGCTAGGACGTACAAGCCGCCAACTCGACGTCCGTCTCGAGGTCACTGTCTACATGCCAGTCACTTCGTCGATCGGTACGTAACCGGGTGCTCCTGTTGCTACGCCATTGGCCGCCGTCCTGCCTCGGTGACCTCGGCGGTTGGTAGGACCGACCAGCTCAGACGTCTGGGGAGCA